CCTCCTCCCCCTCCTCCCTTCCTCCCCTCCCCCTCCTCATCCCCTCTATTCCCTCTCCCCTTTCAGTGATCCCCTTTCTACCCCAAACAATCCCTTTTTGCTTTCAAATACAGATTTTTACTTATATTTACATCCGAACCCTGCGTATGAAAGAGAAAATGGAATGTTCGTGTTTCTGAGCAGTTTGGCTCATCTTTCTTTTTTGTAAAATTTTTTTTATTGAATTTTGTGCATTTTCTACAGACCATCTTAATCAGTCTTAATCAACTTTATACTCCTTCCCTATTGGCACCCTCTCCTAGATCCCCACCCCCCTTACTGAAATTCATTCTGTCATTTGTGTTAAGGCCTATCATGTCAAGTTAGTGTCCCCAGACATCCCTCAGTGCAAGTTCATATACTGGGATCTAGTCAGCCTATCTAGACTCCCCTCCTTTAAGATGATAAGTTCTTCCTCACCCAGCAGTAATCAACTGCCAATAATCCTTCAGCTAAGAGTGGGGACTGCTGCCCATTTCTACAGTTCTGTGCTGGGGTTTTGTCTACTTGAGTTTGTGTGGGTCTTGTGCATACTGACATCATTGCTTCAGTTGGGTCATATCTCTTAGTGTCCCTTTTCCTGTGCAGGGTGGAGCTCTCGCTCCTGGGCCTGATCTTCCCTTCTTCTTGACCACATGTTCTCCATCCAATTCTGGGGACATTATCTAGAACCTTCTTCCTGGCTGTAATCCTCATAGGAGGCAGCCCCTAGACTCCCCTCCTTTAAGATGATAAGTTCTTCCTCACCCAGCAGTAATCAACTGCCAATAATCCTTCAGCTAAGAGCGGGGCCTGCTGCCCATTTCTACCGTTCTGTGCTGGGGTTTTGTCTACTTGGGTTTGTGTGGGTCTTGTGCATACTGACATCATTGCTTCAGTTGGGTCACATCTCTTAGTGTCCCTTTTCCTGTGCGGGGTGGAGCTCTCGCTCCTGGGCCTGATCTTCCCTTCTTCTTGACCACATGTTCTCCATCCAACTCTGGGGACATTATCTAGAACCTTCTTCCTGGCTGTAATACTCATAGGAGGCAGCCCAGGGCTTCTCCTGAAATACCTGTGGCCCTGAATGACTTTGGATTCTTGTGGCCCTGAATGTCTTGGGATTTTTCTGGCCCTGAATGTCTTGGGATACCTGTTTTCTTGCTCTCAGTCATTGGAGATGCTGTGACTCTCCTCAGAGGCGTCACACAATTGCAAATAGAGTAACTATTAATGCCAAGTGATACTGGCTGCCCAGCTTTATGATATGTTATAATTATCAATACCAAGTGAGGCCCACAGCTCAGCTTTAGTGCTTTTAACAGGCCATCCCCAGACAGGATCAACCATATCGTGAGCTGCACAACATCCTTCTGATGCTGACCATGAATGTGAAGAAGACACACACTCATACGTGTGCATGTATGGGGGCATCTTGCTCACCATGGGTCCATTCTCATAAGCCCCTTGTAAGGTATCGAGTATGTACTTTCCTCTTCTCTGTGGCAGAGTTCCTGAGATAAACAAGCTGAGGACAGGTCATTTCAGCAGGTCAATCCATGGTCACGTGGTCCCATATGCTTGGGAAGACCATCATGGTTGGAGGGTTTAGCAGAGGAACCTTGCCTTGTGTTGGGAAGTAGGGGGCACAGACTGGAGAGCTGGTGTACCTTCAAAAATTACTCCCCCAGTGCCTACTTCTTCTAGCTCTGTACCCCATCCCAGTTTCCACAGCCTCCCCTGGGGACTAAATGTTCAGCCTTGTGAGCCTGTGGGCGAGTTTTATATTCAAACCATACAGGTTGACAATATTGCAAGTCAATGGTGTATTTAACACAGACCTGTGGAAGGATGAGCATACCAACATCATAGCACTGTAGGGCCTGGGTGGTGTCACCTGGCAACCATACAGCGGACCAGGATCTGAGACTCCCTGACACTACCCAGCATCGGAGAGAGGATCATATCACATGTCACCAGCTCAGGGAAAGATGCAAATTAAAAACTCAGGAATGGCATCCCTTCCCACCATCCTCAAGCCATTCTTGCTTGGGAACCCCACCCTTCTCTCTGTGTATACAGAAAGGTTTAACATTGTAGCTCCTCAGCCTCTATAAGACCACATAGCAGACATTATTTAGACATTTGGATCACTTTAATGTAAACAATGTAAACCATGCTTCAACTGACATATTTGAACATTAGCTTTTTCTTCTTTGAAAGGATTCTCATGGTAGAAATTTCTGTAAATGCTTGACCACTGTACACTCTTACCCCAAGGAGAAAATATGTTATTTAATGCTGTACTAAATAAGAATACACTAGTGATAACAAAATTTTGTAATGCTTAATATTTGGCAAATGTTCATCGAGACCCTCCACACAGCAAGTGCATGGATTAGTCTCCTTAGGATGCACCTCCTGCCACCTTCCCACACAACCTGACAGTGTCCTCACAGCGGGGCTGAGACCCCAGCCTGAGGCGCAACCCCACTGGTGCTCAGAGGCTGGTCTGCCTCTCAGTCCCAAGCTCCTTCTGCCTCCCAGTCTAATGCTCTGGCTTCCTTTGGGGTTCTCCATGTGGTGTGTACACATTTTTTCCCGTACTGCTACGTGCCTTTGGTGTCATTTCTCCTGGGGCCCCTCTGCCTCCTGAATTTTATGAAGTTGTTACAGAGCACCAGCTCTCTATCACAGACCACTGTATTTCTGTGTTAGTGAATTTCACAGCTGCACTCTGATGGTGAAAATGGGCAGCCAGTTGGCATGGACTTTGAGTTTTTAGTTTGTATCATCCTGGAAGTTCCTCACATCCCTGCCATGACTTCTCAGTATTCTGTTGACCGTGAGAAGGTACCCAGGACCCCTGCTCTTTCTATCAGGGTCTGAGTGACCTGGCACTGAGGGTCTCTCACCTGGTCTCTGTACTGACTGCCTTTGCATCGCTGTAACCGAGTCCCTGAGGCAATGGGGGAAAGTTCGGTTGGCTCATGGTGTTGAATGTTCAGTCCATTGTTGCTCAGCCCTGTGTGGTTGGACAGAACATCACGGCAGAGAGAGTGTGTGGAGGAAAGGGCTGTGCGTTTCGTGGTGGACAGGAGGCACTGTGAGAGGAAGAGGTCTGGGGAAGTCCATGGTGACTTCCTCCAGTGAGGCTCCACCTCCCCAAACAGGACCACCAGCTGTCATTCAACAGGAGGTCCTGTGTCGGTAGGGGATGTGTTATGGTTAAACCATCATGGCTTCCATCTAATGTCCACGACAGGAGGCTGAGCACCTTACTCTACAGCTGCTTCTGCAGTGTGGCCTGTGAAAGGGGGATGGGGTCCTCTTTACCTGCACAGGTAGCTGCAGAGACGGAACGATGGCAGCATGGGTAAGGGTGGCCTGCGCAGGGCTTGTTCAGCTCTAAGACTGCCACATCCAGCTTTGCACCTGGTGGTGGATTAGCATACTTTGACTGGTTCATGGGTAAACTGAGTCACACACTCTGAGAACACTCTTCTCTGCCATCCTACCTAGAATTGTTCCTGGGAAAATAAAAATAAAAATTTTAATTTTTGAGAATGGTTTCACTGTGTAGTCCTGGCTGGTCTAGAACTCACAGAGATCTACCTGCCTCTGCCTCCAGTGCTGGGATTAAAGATATGCACCACCATGCCTGGCAGAACATAAGTATTTTAATGATAAATTACAATAAATCAGCAATTGTGCTAGGAATAGTTGCTAGCCTAATGAGTCTACAGTTCTATTTTTCAGAAAAAATAAAAAGATTTTCCTATTTCATTTGCACTAAATAATAAAGTTAAACACAACAACCTCAGTGCACTGTTGCCATTTCCATGGACACAAAATGGTGGTGTGTCTCTCTTAAATTCAAGGAGAAACATCATATCAGGTCACAGCGATTTCCACAGGCCCTTTATATAATCCACCTTGTTACTTTCTGAATTTCTGATATTCTGAATTTCTGATATTACACATCTAATTTCTTCCCAAGGTAACCTTGTCTGACTTCTTGGGTGTACGTGCAGTTATTCTTATGAAGCACACATTAAGTGTCTACTAAGTGCGTGTCTCTCCTGCTTACTAATTATCGCCTGACTCATTCAGAATGCCATGCAATATTGAAGAAGACAGTTTTAGAACTTTATATCCATGCAGCCAGTCCTCAGGAGCTGTCTGTGCTCACGTTCCTCCTCCACAACAGTCTTGACACCTGTAGAGGACCTTGATGTTGTTTGTCATTTCAGCCTATGAGCTACAGAATTGCCCAGATCCACCTGCGTTCCAGAACGGGTTCATGATCAACTCAGATTACAGCGTGGGCCAGTCCATCTCCTTTGAGTGCTACCCGGGGTACATCTTGGTAGGTCAGCCTGTGCTCACCTGCCAGCACGGCACGGACCGGAACTGGAACCACCCTTTTCCACAGTGTGACGGTAGGCTCCTGTCTCTGCCTTGGGGACAGCTCTGCTCCTTGTGGGATCGCAGTTCAGGGACCACTAATGCATATACTTAATAATTCATTAATCCGTGCAACAGGCAATTGTTCAGGATCTTTTACAAAACCCCGCCTACACTTTGGAAATATATCACAGCCCAGAAAGTAAAAAGCAAAACAATCCTTATTCTAAAGGAAGCTGTAAGGCTAAGAAAGTGTTAAATACAAGTAGTCACAGTGCGATTCCAGATAGAAGAGCCTGTCCTGAAGCATGACATGCTCAGAGCACAAGGCACCTCCTCCTTCCCACCTGTTCCCCCAAAGTATAAGATGAGAGGGGAGAGAGGTGTTCACTGAGTTTGTCCTGGTTTTTGAATTATTTACTTTTATTCTTGTTTTGACAAAGCAACTTGAGGAAGGGTTTATTTTGGCCTAGAGTTCAAGGGTGAGCCCATCATGACAGGGGAGGCATGGTGGCAGCGGGTCACGTGGCATCCACAGTCCAAGAGCAGGAGGAGGAGAGAGCTGATGCTCAGCTCCCTGTCTCATTTCATGCAGTGAAGGGCTGTCGTCCAGGCCCTGAGCTGGTGCTGCTCACCTTAGAGTCAGTCTTCCCTCCTCCCTGACTTCATCCAGAAACCCTCTCCCAGACACACCTGGAGGTTCTTTTCATGCCGATTCTGAATCTCCTCATGTTGATAATCAAGATTAATTGGCATATTGTTGGTCTGTTTTATAATAATCTTGTTTGCATTTGTGTTTTGTGGGAGGGGACCTTGAAGGACTCAAAGCCTTACTGCGCAGAGACAGAGTCAGCAGAGGCACAGACAGAGGCATCTTCCAGAAAACTGAAGTCCTAATAGCATGTTCGGCACTGGAGTTTTTAGGATCAGAGCTGCCCCGGTAGCTCTCACAAGCTGTGCTTGGTCCCATTTTCAATCAGCCAATTAAATAATCAGAAAAACAAGAGATTTATTCAGTGTCACATTGGGAAGAATAGAGCAGTCTAGTGACCTCCAACATCCAAGACTGTCTTTGGGGTCCTGACATGAGGTTTAGGTTTAAACAGAAGGTACGAGGTAGGAATGACTGAGCAGGCTTCATCAAGTGGTGGTCCTGACATTCACTGCTCCATTTGTTGCAGCCTCTTGTAAGGCAGTCTGACAAGGCGTCAGAACTATGTAAAATCTCTTTCCAAAATGCAAGCTCTTCCTCTGGAGCTCTGGGCTTCAGTCTTTTCTTCTCCAGGAGATTCCCGAGGAAGTTTTATTTTCTTAGCCCACACTGTTTTAACAGCCTCAGAGCCCGAGAAAGGGACCTGCTCGGGGTCTCTTTACAATATCCCCCTCTTGGCAGGATGCTTATGTGGTAACCGGTTCCTGGGACATGCTGGTATCAGGCTGTTGGGCAGCAGGGTGTGTGGTCCAGGCTCATGACTGGCTCCTCTGAGCTAGAACAATGCTGTTGAGCTTCTCTATGGCTTCCTGGCATTTACAATGTGACAACTTAAACATTTCTGCATTGCCAAGCTAACAAAATGATGAGACGTGATATCCACAGGGACGTGTAACAGGAGGTTTGCCTTGAAGTCTGGATCCTCGCCTTATAATTGCAGTACCTTTGGATTAATATATATATTAAAATTATAATTTCTGTATAAATTGAAATCACTGGCTCTGTGTCCTTTGAAATGCCAAGCACTTGTGTTTCATGGGGGAAAGGGAAGGCATCTAATTGAATTTCTAAGGAAGGAGAAACAGAAAAAATGAGAAGCAACAAAGACATGGTAGTGTTTGACGTTGGCTCCACTTTAGCCTCCAATTCCGTGTCATCATAAGAACAGCTATAAAAAAGTCTTAGCTGTTTTTACAGATTCGAATACTTATTTAATTCCATATGAAATAGAATTTAGAGAGCTAAGTATCTCAGTGATGTGAGGATTTTTTGTTTCCCATTTAGATATTTTAAATTTATCTAATTGTACTTTCACTTGAAAACTCATTCTTCGGGGTGAATGTTCAGCTCAGTAGAGCAGATTCCTGGCATGAACAGGCCTTGGATTCAGCCTCCACCCTCAGCTGCACAAACCCCAAAGCAAAACTCACCTGGCTTTCTCCCATCCATGGCTATACGTTACTTTGAAGTGATCAGCATGGTCATGCTTAAACCAGGTGTGGTGGTGCATACCTTTAGTCCTAGCACTGAAGAGCCAGAGGCAGGTGGATCTCTGTGAGACTGGGGCCAGCCTGGTCTACACAGTGAGTTCCAGGCCAGCTGGGCTACAGGGAGACCCTGCCTCAGAGAGACAAAAACCTTTGCATCGTTCCATTTTACTTTGAATTCCTTTGATTCGTACACAAGAGGTCAATTCTTTGGTTTTATGTTAATAGTAAAAGGAAAATCTAATTCTTTAGTTTTAATTTTATCATTTTTAAACTTAATTTTCTCATATGGAGAAAACTCTTCTTGATAATTGTTTTTCAGGATAAAAATAAGCAAACCTCTCTTTTTCTGTAGTTAAAGCATGATACCATTTTTTTGTTTGATCTTTATATTTTAGTTTATTTTCATGTGCATCTATGTGTATCTCGATGTGATGTGATATGTGTTTATATGTGTGTGTGTCCATGTGCAAGTGTCTGCAGAGGTCAGAGGTCAAGATCCTTGGATGTTTTCCTTACTGCTTTCTACCTGATTTTGCTTTGTTTTGATTTTTTGAGACAGCATCTCCTGTGTAGCCCTAGCTTGCCTGGAGCTTACTTTGTAGGCCAGGCTGACCTTGACTTTACAGAGATCTGCCTGCCTCCTGAAGAGTGGGATTAAAGGTGTGTGCACCATGCCTGGCCTGCCTTATTTTTTGAGACAAGGTAGCTCACTGATCCCAGTGCTCACAGATTGGCTTGCCTGGCTATCCATGAAGCTCCAGGGGCCCTCGTGTCTGCACCTCCTAGCACAGGGGTTACAGACACATGCCATCGCATATTTGTCATTACTGAATTTGTCATTACAGTTCATGACAGAGAAGATGCTAGCATTATCTAAATGAAAGGCCCTTAGGGTCTAGGAGGGTATGTGGCTCCCCAGAGTTTATGCAAGATAAAATGTTGACTGTCTACCTCAGACCCAGCTGATTCCAGTCCCAAGGCTTTCTGCTGGGGCTCCATGCATACCCGTGACTGATGGATATCTACCTGGCAACTCACATCGTGGGAACAAAAGCTTAGCCCGAGCCTCCAGGCTGTCTTTCTGAACTAGGCCAGACCTACACTACCCAGATAGTTAGAGCGACTCCTAAGGAGCTTCTAAGCTACCTCCCAGGAGGCCAATTCCTCACAAAACAAGAGATTGCCACATGCTGTGACCTTCTGGCTAAGACTGAGTACGTTACTTAATTCCTAATAAGAATGTCATGAACTAAATTTAAAAATATTAATGTTTGTGCAAAACTATATCATAATATAAACATTGGATGCAATCAGAGGGACCATACAGGGTTTTCTAAGAAGCATTCAGTATGGGTTTAGCATCCTCTCCATGTTGGATTAAACTTTTAACATTCATGCAGTTTTAACACAAAATTACTTCGCCTATGAAGATTATAGTTTTAAATGTAATAGCCCTTGTTCCTAAGGATGATAGGACACTGAGATGTCACTTCTGCTCCAGGCTAGAGTGTTGCCCTCCAGAGAGACCACAGCACCCTAAGTTGTAATCCTAACACCTTCTCTGAGCCTGGCCCGTGTACTCCAGAGGCTTCCCTTCCGCTGTCCTCTCTGTGCAGGGCCGGAGCAGTGGATACTGTCTTCTTCCAACCTGGGTGGTTATGCAGCGGAGTTCCAGATCCCTGGTGGCAGCCAGTTCCTGCCGTCACTCCACTGACACCAGAAATGAGGATCTGGTGGATATAACCTGCTAGGTTACAAATCCAGGCTTGTCTGACTTCAAACCCCACTTACTCATCCCATGGTTAAATTTCTAGAAAGCTCTGCATAGCCCTTTCTCCTGTTGATTCAGTGGTCTGCTTGGCGAATCTCGTTTCTGTTTCCCAGCATGGGACTGTGATAAATTCAGCCACATGGCGCCTCAGGACACTGATGTCCATGATGGCGAGTTACTAAGAAACTCTTGCTTCTTTCCCTCTGTGTCTTCACCACATCTAAATTCTTACACTTTTATGGCAAAAATTGGCAGTTCTGGCGGACTCACACCTCTGACTTTGGTTTGACTTCAAAGCCAGCTTGGCCCCAACTCACCGTCCTCATTTGCAATGAAGCATTTCAGGCCATTCTACTAATAAGTGGTCGTCTGCTTTTCTACAAGTAAAATAGTTGCCATGCAATAACTACATAAACGCTGATTTGTTAAGTCCAGTCCAGCTGCACGAGGTGCTGTGGCTCTCACGTACCCCCAGCCTGTCTTTGAAACAGACGTCTATAAGTTTATCTTTGCTTCTTCAGGTTAGAGTTGCAAAAACTCCCTCGTGTCTTTGTTTTGAGGCGGGCAGGCTTAGCTGCCACTCTTTGGGACAGCTTACATAGGCTTTAGCAAAGGAAGTGACTTAAAACTGCTCAGATCTGTTTATGTCTAGTTTCTTCATAATCCATTGCACCGGACAGCCCGGTAGATTATCAGCTCAGCCACAGGCGATGACCGACTGGGTTTTTTAATCGTGTGGGAATGACTATCCTGAAGGGATTTTTGAAGATTTGAAGAATATATTAACTGAGACTGAGATAAAACTTATAAATACAATTCTCCTGAAGTTTCCATATTCTAGGGGAACAACTGATAAAGTGGTCGGTGAGACTATCTCACAGTTTCTTACGAGGGAAACTTTCAGCCCCAAGACTTTAGACACTTTGCAGTATCTATCGACTTTCTGAAATCCCATCTGAGTTTTATTTGCAATGTCTCCTTTTTCAGCTCCCTGTGGGTATAATGTGACATCCCAGAACGGCACCATTTATTCCCCTGGGTTTCCAGACGAGTACCCAATTCTGAAGGACTGCCTTTGGCTGATCACCGTCCCTCCAGGCCATGGAGTGTACATCAACTTCACCTTGCTGCAGACAGAGGCTGTGAACGACTACATCGCTGTCTGGTATGGCAGTGCCCGCTGGCGCCAGGCTCTTCTGACTTAGCACTTCCCTCCCATTTGTCTGGTTACATGTTTACAAATGCTCAGGCTGGGCAGATCCTCAAAAAGAAATGCACTCACAAAATCCCATAATACAAAGAAAAATCTCAAGAAATATATTTGGTTTGTTATAGGGTAAAAATATCCAACACTAGTTTAAACATATGGAAACAGTTCAAGATTATTTCATTTCACATTTTACTTTAATTAATAATTAAGGCTGTTATGATAAGGTTTCACTCTGTAACCACGTCTATCCTTGAACTCATGGAGAGCCCCCTACCTGGGCCTTCTGTGAGCTGGGATTGCAGGCATGTGCCACCACACCTGCCTTATTTCACAGTTTTACAATGAAGGAAAAGCTGTGGTGTCCTTTGTCATTGTTTGACGCAGTGACGTGGAAGAAGGCATTCCTTGGGGCCTGACCCACCCTGGAGTGCCACAGGCCTTGCTTCCCACGAGCCTTGCAGGGCAACCTGGGGCATGAGCATGTGGGTCTGTCTCTGAGACTGACCCATGCAAATGACAAACTCCACTGTTGAGTTCTGAGGTCCTGAGGTCGAAGAGCAGGAAGATGAGTTTTCTCCTTGATACTATGAAGGCAGGGGCAGACGGTGCCATGGGGCAGCAGGCAGCTGGGGCTGTTGAATGAACTGCCCTGAAAATTGAAGAAGAAATTTCAGGAGACGAGGATGAGGTTGAGTGCATGTGTGACATATGTGTGCGTATGTGTGGCATGTGTGCATGTAGAAAGTATGCATACATTTGTGTATGCATGCATGTGTGAGATATGTGTGCATGTGTAAGGTATGTGTGTATATGCTATATGATGTTTGTACATGTATATCTCTGTATGTATGGTGTAGGGTGTGTGTACATGTGTATGGTATGCATGCATGTGTGTGATATTTGTGCTTGTATGAGGTATGCGTGTATGTGTGAGGTATGCATCCACATGCGAGGTATATATGCATGTGTGAATTTTGCATACACGTGTGAGATATGCATGCGTATTTGTGCTTGTATGAGGTATGCGTGTATGTGTGAGGTATGCATCCACATACGAGGTATATATGCATGTGTGAATTTTGCATACACGTGTGAGATATGCATGCATGTGTGCAGTATGTGTGCACATGTACAGTGTGTGTACATTTGTGAAGTTATATGTGCATGTGTGAGTATGCTATGTGGCGTTTGTGTTTGTACATGTATGTATGGTATAGGGTGTATCTGTTTATAGCTGTATGTGTGTGCACATCTGTGTTGTGTGTCATGTGTGTCTGCTTGTGTCTGTGTGTAAATGTAGGGGTTTTATATGTGTATGTCTGTTGTATGTCTCTGTGTATATGTGTGGCTGTTGTGTGTATCTACTGTGTGTCTGCCTGTGTGTGATGTATGTGTCTGCGGGCATCATATGGCTGAACTCTCATTCAGGCCAAAGAGAAAGTCTGGGCCCCAGGAACAGATACCACAGGGCCTTCAAATTATATTGCAAATGCAGAGGAGCATGTTGGGCGTTTAACAGACTGTCACGGAGGTGATGCAGCCTCAGGGCTGGGGCACTGCCTCCTCAGCAGCAGGGCTGGGCGGTGCGGAGGAGCTGCACCAGTGGCTGTGGGAATGAGGGTTGGCTGTTCCCCCAACATAACAACGGCAGCTCTGCCAGAACAGCAGGCTCATGTGGACCACACAGTGTGGAATGCAGGCTTAGCCATGCCGCTGTGTCCAGTGCCCACAAACAGAGGGCTAGTGAGAGAGAATGCAAAGCTGCGCAGTCGGCATCTCCTGAAAACTCAGCATCCTGCTTCTAACACAGCACCCAGGAAAGCCTGTGTTTCCCTTTTGTCAGTATTTTCATTCACTTGTAAAACTGTCCAGAGGTGTCACTCATAAGTAAGCTGACACCATAGCGTGCATTCTTTAAAATGCAGCTGTTTAAAGGAGCGAGGCCACTGACGTTACCAACGTGCCTCTGGGGACGCTGGGGCCCACCTGCTCTTCAGCGCTGGTCACACACTGGAGCCCGCGGCGTGGGCCTTGGTTGTGACATGCGGCTTCCTGCTCAGTGGCTCTGTCTCTTTTCCAGGGATGGTCCTGACCAGAATTCGCCTCAGCTTGGGGTCTTCAGTGGAAACACAGCCCTGGAAACCGCCTACAGCTCGACCAACCAGGTCCTGCTCAAGTTCCACAGCGATTTTTCCAATGGAGGCTTCTTTGTTCTTAATTTTCACGGTCAGTCTATCTCCACCACGGCTGCTGGGATGGACACTCCCAGGACAAGCTCCCCTGTGCCACCCACCCTGTCTCCAGCTCATACCTTCCCTGCTGTGTCGGAGTCTGTGGGCTCATCCTGCATGGAGGCCAGAGGCTCCCCAAACCCTTGGGTTGACAGTATCTTTGTGTCAGGTTGATCTGTATCCAGCCCCTAGGATTCATTCCTACATAATCCTATATAAGTAAACAGACCTGAGGTAGTGGCCCATAGGTGATGCAGCCTCAGGGCTGGGGCGCTGCCTCCTCAGCAGCAGGGCTGGGCGGTGCAGAGAAGCTGCACCAGTGGCTGTGGGAATGAGGGTTGGCTGTCCCCCAACATAACAACGGCAGCTCTGCCAGAACAGCAGGCTCATGTGGACCACACAGTGTGGAATGCAGGCTTAGCCATGCCGCTGTGTCCAGTGCCCACAAACAGAGGGCTAGTGAGAGAGAATGCAAAGCTGCACAGTCGGCATCCCCTGAAAACTCAGCATCCTGCTTCTAACACAGCACCCAGGGAAGCCTGTGTTTCCCTTTTGTCAGTATTTTCATTCACTTGTAAAACTGTCCAGAGGTGTCACTCATAAGTAAGCTGACACCATAGCGTGCATTCTTTAAAATGCAGCTGTTTAAAGGAGCGAGGCCACTGACGTTACCAACGTGCCTCTGGGGACGCTGGGGCCCACCTGCTCTTCAGCGCTGGTCACACACTGGAGCCCGCGGCGTGGGCCTTGGTTGTGACATGCGGCTTCCTGCTCAGTGGCTCTGTCTCTTTTCCAGGGATGGTCCTGACCAGAATTCGCCTCAGCTTGGGGTCTTCAGTGGAAACACAGCCCTGGAAACCGCCTACAGCTCGACCAACCAGGTCCTGCTCAAGTTCCACAGCGATTTTTCCAATGGAGGCTTCTTTGTTCTTAATTTTCACGGTCAGTCTATCTCCACCACGGCTGCTGGGATGGACACTCCCAGGACAAGCTCCCCTGTGCCACCCACCCTGTCTCCAGCTCATACCTTCCCTGCTGTGTCGGAGTCTGTGGGCTCATCCTGCATGGAGGCCAGAGGCTCCCCAAACCCTTGGGTTGACAGTATCTTTGTGTCAGGTTGATCTGTATCCAGCCCCTAGGATTCATTCCTACATAATCCTATATAAGTAAACAGACCTGAGGTAGTGGCCGTGGTGACACATGTGAACCCTCCATACACTTCACATGCCCCGACTCTAAAGAAGCAGCATAGAAAATACCATACAACAACCAAGGGGATGGCAGCGACCCTGCTGCCCTTGAGAGCAGTAGGCAAACTCACCAGCCCCTTGTCTCCCTCAGGGTGAGCCCGCAGGACAAGAGACAGTTGGGAGCCTATCTACACTGAGGCCCGGCCGCAAGTTCCCAAGGGAGCAGCATGAGCTTATTTACCTGTTTACATTGTTTCTCTTTTAATTCTTTATTCAAGATTTGTTTTTTTAAAAAAATGTATAAGAGTCTTTTGCCTGCATGTAAGGAAGTGCACCGTGTACATGCAATGCCTGGGGAGGCCAGAAGAGGGCCTCCAAGCCCCTTGAACTGGAGTTACAGGTGGTTGTTGGACACTGTGTGGGTGCTGGGAACTGAACCCAGGCATTCCAGAAGAGCAGCTAGTGCTCTTAGTTGGGTCATCTCTCCAGCCCCATGTTGCCATTGTTTCAACTGGATGCTTTGTCTCTCTGGCTTTGAGTATCAGTGGGCATTTAGTGATCGTGGACATTTGGAGAGAGAATTTCACCAAGCGATGGTTTGCACGTGTGACTGTGTCGGTGTACAAAGCCTTGTACCGAGGGGTTATGTTGCTCTGTTAACAAAGTGACCACAGCTGTTATGACTGTGTCTTTCATACACCCTTAGCATTTCAGCTGAAGAGGTGTCCACCTCCCCCAATGGTGCCGCAAGCTGACCTGCTTACCGAGGACGAGGACTTTGAAATAGGTAAGACTTCACTCCTTCCTTGTACACTGAGGGGTGTGGGCTCTTAAGCTTTTCTCTGATGGGGTCCTTACACAGACTGCTCCCGGTCAGGGAAACCTACCCCACAGCATCATGGGGTCTCGCACAGAGATCACGGACCAAAATGATGGCGTTCTTCCTTCGTTTCTGTGGTTTCTGCTGGTTTTGCACTTGAACTGTGGTTCGGTCCTTTCAGGGCTTCCTCCCCTCTGTTGTGTGTGTCCTTTCATTTTAAAAATAGTTTTCAGAATCTGACTTGGAATATATTTGCAGTTGGGGAAATGTGAGAGGAAATTTACTCCTTTAGAGCTTTTACTGTGTGACTGTAAACACTGTCCTTCTTAACATGGAAAGTCACCAGGTAGGATGTAGTTAATATGACACTTAGAAAACCCCCTGCTTCATTTTTCATGACAGGTCTGTCATTAAGAAGGTCCTGTTAAGAAGCCAGCCAAGGATACGCTGGCAATGATCTGGGGTTTCTCAGTCCCAATTAAAACCACATCTTTCTGCTGTCCCACCCATTTCAGAATGCTGGTCAAGCCCTGTGGGCCAGTTCCTGCTGTGCTCATAATGGCCTCTTTAACTGGAACATGCTGCTCCAAGACCGGGGTCATGGCCGAGCCCTGTTGGTCCTGCTTGGGCTGTCCCATCATTCCACTCCACAGTCGTGCTTAGATCCCAGGCATCTGTTGTGCTTTTATTTATTTAGAGAGGCATTTGGAACACGGAACAAACAGCTTTTAGTCAAGGAAGAAAACGGATATGTTGATGAAAGTTTATAAATTAAGAACTTTAAAAAAGATTTATGTATTTTTATTTAATGTGTATGAGTGTTGCCTACATGTATGTATGTGCACCACATGTGTGTAGTGCCTGTGGAGGCCAGAAGAGGGTGTCAGGTCCCTGCAGCTGGAGTTACAGGTGGTTGCTGAGTTACGATGTATGTGCTGGGACCTGAACTGGGGGACTTTCTGCAAGAGCAGTAAGTGTTCTTAAGCACAGGTCCCAAAATTGTACTTTAGTAACAGACATAGAGTGAATACAGACATTGCACAGTGACAGGATTCAGTCAACAGTCACAAATGATGGATATATACATAGCCATCTAATGTTCTAGAACAGTTTACCAGCATGTTGATCGTTTCTTTTAGGGGACTTTGTGAAATACCAGTGCCATCCTGGGTATACGCTGTTGGGGAGCGACACACTGACGTGCAAGCTCAGCTCCCAGTTGCAGTTCGAAGGCTCTCCACCCACCTGTGAAGGTACACCCTGCTTGTTGGACTGCTGTCTGTGTTGCTCTGACAGTTTGTAGGGATGCGTTCAAATTTAACCCAAGCTATGCTGAGACAACCTCCCTGTGAAAACAAGCTGCTAACAGAAATATCTGATGGCTTTTTGCCTGTAGCTCACCCTGAAAAATAAATCTAAGTCCTTTCCAAGCAATTGATCATGAAAATATTCTAATACACAAAACTGAAATATTTTTAAAAAGCATCTGATCCCTGGCACTCTTCCAGGAATGTCTCCACATTTCTAGTGCGTTTTTGTCTCCCTCTGCCCCCATACCTCTCCATCAATCTGTCTCATATTTTAGATGCATTCGGACACGCTTTGGGTATCCTGAGAATTCAGTCAGTACTTTAACTGAACTTAATTAGCTGGGGCTTAACACCTTCTGGTATAAAATGTATAAACAAAAGAAATATATCCATTTCATGTTTTATATGCCTTTCAAGTAAATTGACCATATGCCAGAACTTAGATAATTTTCAAGATTTGAGGCTATGTCTGTCGGTTCAGTGGATTAAAATACAATTAGGTCATTTAAGAAATACAATTTAATGAGCATCATTTTCCAGTGCAGTGGGAACAAAAACAGTTCAGGTGGCCCGAGTCAGTCGGAAGTACCATGGATTCACTGTGGAAGCTTACTGTTTACTTAAACAATCACAGACATGCTGGAGAGCCTCTGAGTAGTGGAATTTCCCCTTTTCAGGAATGTATTTTCATGCACCAGGGAGACAAACAGTAAGACAAGTGTAGCTAACAGGGACCAGAGCCTGAGCCTGAACCCCTCGTATGCCTGCAGGTCTGTCTTCTGCCCATGTGCAGGAGGGGACAGCTCCTGTCCTGCTTGTGAAAGAGTTGGAACCACCCGTGAATAATACATAAACTATCATTGTGAGTGTAATGACGTCAGTTTTCTCCCCCAACAAAGGCAGTTTTCTTTGCACTGTGAAAATACCACTTTTCCCATGATTTCCTAAAGCTCACACCTGTGGATATCATCTCTGGGTGTCTAATAACATTCTGGGTTATGGCTTGTTGGGAAGCATCCTCATCACCTTGAGAGAGGGACAGTCAGAATCTCAGAAAGTTACAGTTAGAAATGAACAGCTGTTGGATAACCACATAGCTTGGAAAATTTAACTTCAAAATTGCTCAAGTGGGGTAATTCCCTGTGTTTACTCTGAACCTACTTCTTCAGGAATCAGCACACACCCTTGTTATTATAGCACACCTTCAGAAAACATCCACTAGTGTGATACAGGACTGCAGATCAAGGTCAGAGTGTTCCCAGGGTGTGCTGACAACATACCATTAGGTCAGATCCTGTCTTAATTCAGAGGAAAATGAGCCATGGGTGCTGGCATCCAAGTGGTACTTCCTGTGTTCAGGAAGACCTGTCTTAAAGAAGAGAGAGCAACGGAAAACCTTGGAAGTGGGAAAGGGCACCTGGCACCCAAAGAGGAGGAGCAGCTCTTCTAAGGGAAGCTGTGCTCAGAGGGATGGTTCCAGCCCAGGGCCAGGCTATGGCATCAAAGTGGCACTTCCTGTGTTCAGGAAGACCTGTCTTAAAGAAGAGAGAACAACGGAAAACCTTGGAAGTGGGAAAGGGCACCTGGCACCCAAAGGGGAGGAGCAGCTTCTTCTAAGGGAAGCTGTGCTCAGAGGGATGGTTCCAGCCCAGGGCCAGGCTGTTAAGATGCCGCAGTGCCAGTGGACTCATCCTACAGACAGTGAGGAGCCATTAATAGTTTCCAGAAATGCATTAAAAGTTAGAAACGTACACAGGTTCTGAAAAGAACCCATAACCGTGTGGCAGTGTCCTCCCTCTGCAGGAAGCGGAGCGGGGCTCACAGGAGGCTTCTGGAGCTGAGTCCTTCCCCACGTGAACCCCAAGGCTGGAGTGGCACAGTGGCACTGCTTAGAAATGGCTTTGTTTTCACTGTTGTCTCACCCTGTCGTTTCTTTTTAAGTTATTTATTTTTGTTTTTTGTGTATGAGCCTTATGCCTGCAGGTGTGCAAGCGCACCCATGACCTGTAGTGCACTCAGAGGACAGAAGAGGATCTCGGACACCCCGGAACTGGAAATACGGAGTGTTGTTAGCTGCCATGTGGGTGCTGGACTTTTTTGCTCTTAACTACTGAGCCGTCTCTCCAGTCCCCCAGTCGGTTCCTTTACACATCAATTTCAATGACCAACAATCCTAATTCTTGTTCCTCACCCTGTGTTACTTTACTAACGGTCTGAAAAACACACTAAATAATGTGCCCCATGTTTTTAAGCCTCACAAATGATTTTTCCCCTCCAAAATTAGTGAATCTGCCCTGTGCCAAGGGTTTCTAGTTCCAGCTACAGGCAAACTCTTAAAGGTGCCTTGATGGTGCCTTTCAGCAGCAAGGTTTCTCAAATGCCCCTTAGGTATGCTGGGGTTTTAAAGGTGTGAAGGCTTCTGGGGAAAGAAGCAGCTCAGCTCCAGGAGCCTGTGCATCTTGAAACCTCCCATGGTAGCTGGGTTGCTCCTGGCAACAGTTTGTAGCAGGTGCTGGGAAAGAGCAGAGCAGGCAGAAAGCACAGGCATTTGGCTCAGCAAGTAACACATCCAGATGTATTTTAAAACTGATATTCATGCCCGAAAATAATAGCATTAAGTGTTATAAGAAATGATAAAAATGGTTTTGTTTCTATTTTCATTTCACCTTCTCTAACAAGCAAGAACGCCATTTTAGGACCTGCAGGGGTAAGCGTTGCTGGGCCGGATGCTTCTAGTTTGGAAGTTGCTCTTTGCCTGGCCCTGGAGGCAGGCTGTTTTCAGCAACTCATTGCAAAGTTTCCTGTTTCCAGATGGTCTGAAGTTCAGTGTCATTTAAAACTCTAGTTGCAGTGGTAGAGCATGCAGGGAGGAGGGCTTGCTGCTTATTTCCCTAGTGAAATTCAGAGAACAGAGGGTACTTGGGAGCACCTTCCTGTGGAGAAAAGATGGGCATGTAGTTAAGTCATTTCCAGGCTCTGTAACACCTCTGCCCATATGGCATCTTCTATTTAAGAAAAGCATTTACATCTCCTGCATCTAGTTATGACCCCAGGGGTGGCTGTTCTGGCCCTCGGTAGCAGACATAGGAAAAGCTCTAGCTCTGGTAACATGGAGGCAGGTCTGTGGAACTGTGCTCCCTGGCCCACACAGGTGTGCAGATACCAAACCAACCTATGTGCTGTTCTTTTAAAAAATATCAGCATTCCAGTTTATAATTGGCAAAGTAAATTTTGCAGAGTGATCTTATCAGTAAAGGAATTGGGTTTGTATCTCAGTAAACAAAAAGTCAAAATACACAACCAGAAGCCAAAATAGTGGAGAGCAGTTTATCGACTGTAGCAGGTAGGGAAGGCACTGGGATAGTTCCAAAGCATTCGATGGGGGATACGTACTCTTATAGAAAAGCATGTGAGGGGCAGCACTATCCCGAGCATGCTCAGTTTGAGGTTATAGGACAAGAAGTAAAATAACGCAGGTAATTGGTCATGCCTAGACCAAAGTCATGTAGCAAAGTTCAGGAGGAAGACGCAGCAGGTCTATGCGTGCTCGGATCCCACTGTAATGAGCCACGTTACTCTCAGCTCCTTAGAGGTGTGACCCAGAGCACCCAGTGACCTGAACTGGGTCCCTGCAAGTCTCTCAAAGTCTTAGTTAGCTAAAACAAAAAGAAAACACAACAGTACTTTAATGCAAGCTTGACCAGAAAGTGCCTGCCTCGTGGGTCCCTAACAATATCAGGACTTTACACCAAAATTTTCGGTCTGTAGCCTTTGGCAGGAATTATTTTCAGCGACATTACTGCCATTGATTCACACTGTCTCTATTTTAAGACATTGATCTAAAACACACATTTTGAAGGGTTCTGTGGCAAAGTTCCTCACTGATAGTTTGGTCTTAAATTTTAAGATACATTTCAGTTAGAATATCCAGATAAATGTTGACCATGGTATAGTTTGGTCTAAAATTTGGCTAAATTTTAAGATACATTTCAGTTAGAATATCCAGATAAATGTTGACCATGGGAAAGCAACATTTAAACACAGTTAATTAAGAATTATACATCTGAAAGCTGGACATGGTGGCACACACCTTTAATCCCAGCACTTAGGAGGCAGAGGCAGGAGGATCTTTGTGAGATCGAGGCCAGACTGGTCTACATAGTAAGTACCAGGCTAGCTGGGGCTACAGTGAACCTGTGTCAAAAATACCACCCCCCCCCCAAAAAAAATAAAAACTGAGAAAAATCTCACAAATCTCACAAACTCTTTTACCTGTTTGGAAAGTGTCTTCATTTAGAAATGTATGTACAAATAATATACAGTCGACTCATTAAATGAGGAAATTTAGCAAATAGGATCCATATCTTTAACAACCTTAATATCTTTCTTTGGAGATTGATTTCATTTTAATCATGAGTATATGTGGTATGTGCATGTGCATGTAGCTGCCCATGGAGGCCTCAGAGGACAAAGGTGTTGGGTCTCATTGGAGCTGGAATTAGAGGCTATTGTGTGCCACCTATTTTGAGTGCTGGGAACTGAACTGTGGTCCTCTGGAGGAGCCAGAAGTACTTTGTCCCCTGAGCCATCTCTCCAGCCCCAAGCTTATTGTCTTTGAGGAAGGCTGGTTACTAACCTTGCTAACATTGTGAATAGCTCTGGCACATCCTGTTTATATGCTGTGACCAATCAGATCATTCATTTCCCTTAACAACTCCACAAGCAAAATAGTTCTGGAATGCAATTTAATTTAGCAGTGAGAAAAGTTATTAATTAAGGAACTCGCCTTTTGGTGATTCTACCTTGTACTTTCATACCTATGCTGTTTAGAATTTTTTAACTAGGCTGGAAGTAGCTGAATAAAAATAAAAGCAGGAGGGGACAGATGTGCCATTCCTGTAACAGCTCAGGGATTCAGACAAGTTCTCACTGTGGAAGCCATGGATCCTCCTGAGGAGTATAGGGGACTGTGGGGTGAAGAGTGAGTCTGAGGCAATGTTTCTCTGACTCATTCATTCCCAAGCAATCACCAAATATTCAAATTTTCCTTTTCCAAGTATAGTAGAAGTCATACTTAAAACGAGGATTTTTTTTCTTACAAAGAACCACCACATCTTGTCCCATCATATTGAAAATTGTCTTTATGGCTGCTATGGATACCATGGGTGCTGTGATGAAATGCACAGTGTCCTCATCAAGCTGTGTCTGAGATGCAGGGCCAGGGGAAAGAGCTGACTCAGTGGATGGACCACAACCACTCACTGTGACTTGCCTCTCTCTCTCAGTGTTGACACCTGGTATTAAATGTAGTCAGAGCTCGATGAGATTGCCTTCTCTTTCCATGGGATGCTGTGCACAGTGATAAAAACTGTCCTTTCCAATGTTGGATTCATTGTGTGAGAGCAGACGTTTAAGTGATATTTCTCTCTTCAGCACAATGCCCAGCAAATGAAGTCCGGACAGAGTCTTCTGGAGTTATCCTCAGTCCAGGGTATCCAGGCAACTATTTCAACTCACAGACCTGCTCTTGGAGCATCAAAGTGGATCCAAACTTTAACATCACTCTCTTTGTGGACACATTTCAAAGTGAAAAGCAATTTGATGCACTTGAAGTATTTGATGGTAAGTCTTTGGGGTTTTTGTTACAAGGCCCTGGAGATCATGAATGAAGGCGTATCCGAATGTCTTAGTAGCACAGTGCTTTAGACACATCCTTTAACCATGTCTTCCCACAACAACAGTGACGACAGGGACCTTGTGCATTCTCAGAGATGAGGTGTCCTGCAAGCAATACCAGTTGTTATTTTTCTACAGGTGAATGTGTGTGTGTGTGTGTGTGTGTGTGTGTGTGTGTGTGTGTGTGTGCGCATGGGTGTGAGAAGCTAGAGGATATTTCACAGCTCCTCGGGGGCCAGATACTTTATTTTCTTTTTTAATGAGAGCATTTCACTGGCCTGGAACTAATAAGCTTGCTGAAGCCCCAGGAATCCACCCGTCTACCGCTGGCATGCTGGGATTGCAAACATGTGCCAACATGCTGTAGCTTTTTGCACATGTGTTCTGGGGTCAAATTCAGGTCCTTGTGCTTGCAAGGCAAATAATTTACCGACTGAGCCATGTCTCCAGCCCCATATGTGATTTTTTTAAAAAAACATTCTTTAATTCTTTAGCTCTGATTGATTAATCAGAATAATGATCTCAGAAGCCTTTGTTATTGATTTCTTCCCCAAATCTTGCATTAATTCACAGGTTACTACAGGACAGTTGAGAAGTTTTTCACTCATTCCAAATGTGTATTTTGCTAGAAATGGAGTGAAATGCAGAGAACAAGGCTCCTGCTAATGCTGTTTTCAACACTAGTGCCATGACTGTCTGTGTTCTCATGGTCATTTTAGTGCAGCATGAGCTGCCCTGCAGGTTCGAGATGAAGCTGATGCTGATGGTTTTCTTTGCACAGAAGAACAAAGCAGGGCTCAGTGAAGGCTGGGGAGGGCACAGGGCTTTCTCGTGGTTCCATTGTTGTTACTGAGTTCAGACAAACCACAATCAATTCAGCAATAAAAAATTCTCCAAATGGTCCATGTGCTTCTGTGTTTCACTAACTTAACAGATCGTAACAGCCAAATCTCTTACGGAGACAGACCCACAGTGATCAATGTATATAGTTCTGAGGATTTGCTGTATTAAAAGCAGAGCCTTAACGGTTACACATAGAAACAGAGGACTGGAGAGCAAGAATTGTTAAATTATATGTCCAAGCAGACACATGTACTGATAGACTTTGCTCTCAATCTGTAAGCAATTGTGGCAAATGCTATGCCCATCGTTTCTATTTTGGTGACATGGGGACTATTTTATACTCCATGGGCTGAGAAGAAGTAGATGACCCAATTTATTCTGAGCATCAGTTGACCAAGAGTGTATTGCTCTCTATGAATCAAGTGTGTGTTTCCCACAATTTCTAAGAATCAGGTGTGGGCTTCCTACAATTTCTATGAATCAAGTGTGGATTTCTCACAGTTTCCAAGAATGGGGTTTTAAAGTCATAAAACTTTGAAGAAAGGTGTCTGAATTGTGAGACTGGTTTGCTGGTGACATACTGGCCGGTGTGCCTGGGTCTCAATTTTCTAGGCTATCTGGACACATGAAAGGTGGATGCATGCTTTTAAAGACAGGCCTAGAAAACTCACTCCATTTTAGACAGAGAACAGATGGAGAACAGAAAGGCATTTGATGTGGGATTAATAACTCCTGAAAATATACTCTTGCATTCTGTCAGTAAAAATGACATTTAAAGTGCAGTGAACTTGGGATAATGAATTTCCCCATGGCATTTTGTTTCAGAACAAATATGATCTGTTTAAACAGCCATGAACACACAGCTCACAGCTCTGCCTTTTTCCCCGTGAAGTAGGGTCATCCTTCCTCAGGGAGTAAGTGCCATATTTCCTACAATCTTTCATGACAATAAGGATCATATCTGGGGGCCTGGAGAGATGGCTCAGCAGCTAATACCACTGTCTGCTCTTACAGAGAACCCAGGTTTGATTACCAGCACCCACATGATGGTTAACAATCTGCTAACAACTGAACACTTGTTCGAAACTCCAGTTCCAGGGTATCCAATGCCCTCTTCTGGCCTCTATAGGAATTGCATGCATGTGATGCACATATAGAAACAGGCAAAACACACACATAGAATTTTTTTTAATGATTAAAATTTTAATAAAGAAAGAATCCATTCTAGGGAATCTCAACACCAACCTCCACATTCTTGTTGACTACCTGGTTTCTTTGTGGGTTCCTGGGAGTGTTATAACAAAAATGCTGGATGATATAAGCAACAGCCCAGTTAGTCTTGGAGAATGGTCATCCAGAATCAGCTGATCTCTCTGAGCCTTTCCTTGACGTGTAGGTACATCCTCCTCCCATGATCATCATGTTTGTTCTTTGTGTACCTGTGTCCTGATCTCCTCTTATTAGAAGGCACTATTCACATTGGAGTTGGGCACACTCCTGAAAACTATTTGATTTAGCTGTCTCTGCACAGCACATACCTAGTCAGCTGCATTCTGAGCTGCGGTAAGTAGAGATTTACTGAACTGTTGGGCAGAACAAAACAGATCCTCCCACAGTTTTACTGATGGAGGGAACTAGAAATGGTTTGGGAGTTAGAATGAGTGAAGTAGTGATCTCTCAGAATGAGTGAAGATTCTATAACGGACATCAGTTGCCCTGATGACGTTTATATTATGCACAGTCGTGAGAGGTGCAGGTGCACTCCTCTGATGCTTCCTGTGCGTGAACTGCAAAGTGGGAGAAGTCAGGAATATTTGAAAGACAAAGAAATAATGTTACACCCACTGACAGAAGGGGGATTGTGAGTCCAGCTTCTATTTCAACAGAGGGATTTCTCTCCCACGTTATAGGAAACTTTCGTCGTAAGAGGAATACCCACTTGGTTTTCTGAGCTGGAATTTAATAACTTTGCTTTATGATGTTTTTGAAAAACTTGTAAATATAAAGACTAAAAAGGAAGAAAATATATCAGTAGTGATTTTTTAATGAGGCCTTGTTTCTATGGAGAAGCAAAGTATGGAGACATTTAAAATATCCATAGGAATATAAGTCTCCTTTCAATTCTATTGAGGGGGTTATATCCCAAAGAAAGAGTGAGGTGGGTTACTGATGTGGATGTTCTTACTATACATCTACCTACTTACTCATCTTTCCTTCCACCCATCATATACCCATCCTCCATCCATCATCCATCCATCCATTATTCATCATCTCTCCATCCACCCATCATCTACCCATCCATCATCTATCATCCATCCATCCATCCATCCATCCATCCAATCACCATCCATCTATCATCCATATACCCATCATCCATCCATCATCTATCTATACACATATATCCTATATTGTGCACTTTTGTGTTTGTATGAATTGTGATGATACTGATCTGAAAATGGCATGTTCAAACATCTGAATGTTATTCCCAGCTTTACATATGCTGATACAAACACACCTACTGCAATTATTTTAGAAACTACACAAATTTAACTTTTCTTCATGATATTTCTAGCACTTAAAAGCTCCAGCCTGTTAGCTGTGCTCCAGATGTATCACGGACAATAATACTGGAATGTACATTTTTGCACTATAAACCACACTCACATATACATGTGCTAGAGATGACGGAGGAGAGTCAAATCTCCACTTCACCATGAATTACCAAGTTCCCAAAGAATGTTCTCAGTTTTCCACATCTGCATAGAACTAGAAATTCCAATGATAAAATTGCATTCAAGTTTCCAAATGCTACTATCTCATTGACATGTGCGACTCAATTTCCCTCTTATGTCATCAGAAATTTATGCGCCCAACTTCTTCCCTCTGATTGGTTTTTTATCAAAGGGCATATCAGCTGCTATTTTCATTTGAAACTTTTTGTCAACTTTGGAAATAAATAGTTGTATGTAGTACCAGCTTAATCAACGGCCGACCACGATCTGCATTTTGTAGGCACTCACATTTGAACGTTTTTGTTTTTCTGGTTTATTTAGGTTCTTCTGGGCAAAGTCCTCTGTTAGTGGTCTTGAGTGGGAACCACACTGAGCAATCCAACTTCACCAGCAGAAGTAACCAGCTCTACCTCCGCTGGTCTACTGACCATGCAACCAGCAAGAAAGGCTTCAAGATTCGCTATGCAGGTGAATAAATGGACATTGCACGAAGGGCTTTTAGTACATCTGTCTTTATTTCATAATAGACTAAGGTAGAGGTGACGGTATACAGCTGATCGCTATTAATAAACAACAGCAAGAGACAGATCTAATGAGCAAGCTTGATTAATATTCTTAAATGTATTGCTGAAATGATATTTAATTTGTATATCATAGACAACAAACACATTTCCCCAAAATTAAAATAATAAAGTCAAAATTAAATTAACATTGGGAACAACAGAGATGTCATTATATTGCTGTAAATTGTGTACGTGGCTTTTGCTTTTGGCACTAACATCGTTTTATGTGTTTCTGTACATTTCATTATCCTTACATATCCTTACATATATCCGTGTATTAGCCTGTATTTTGTGTGAACATGTACATTATACATATATGTTTTGTGTGCATATATATGTTTATATATATGTGTGTGTGTATGTGTGTGAGAAACATAGGTCTAGTGTGCTTCCTTATCACAATCTGGGTTATCCCATCTTTTCTCCATGGTCTTTAATAGTCTGTGAGTATTAAATTACCTGGAAAGTTAATTAAGCCATCTAGTGCATTGATGAAACATTAAACCTGGTGTACAAGCTCAGTCTGATCTAATCTACACTAGTATTTATATTCCCCTACGAAAGCACAGGGAGGCATATAATTCCTGAGTTTAGTCATGAAGCACAACAGTCTAAGCTTCTCTCAGTCAACTGTATCCAGGTCAGAGTTTGAGGGGTGTCTCCCTTGGAAAGATGCCACCCAGCATGCCAGATGTGGTGTCTGCAGACGGCTGTTCATACTCCTGTTGGTGGTTCAGATTTTCAGGGGGATCCACATCAGTGGAGCAAGATGGGATGTTGAAAGATTTCAGAAGACTGTGAAAGCAGCCAGGCTTTGAAAGGCTCTTGATATGAGGACCATTGGCTGAGAATTCAGGCACTGTCCCTTTGAAAATGTGATAAAACACACTAGACCCATGTCACAGAGCACATCAGAGCAACAACTGGATTTGCATTCATCAAAGCCTTGTTCTGAGGATGTACAAGGCTCAGACTTCTCAGCCTGTTTGAATTTCTTTCCACAATGCAAAAATGGTTAGTGTAGAGGAAGTCATGGTGAACACAATTTATCCTGTTTTATCTGTGGTGAATTATTTAGTAACCTGCTAACATGGAATACTTCAAATATTTGTAACACTAGCCTCTGCCCATTCATAGAACAAGAGACTCTTTATCCGATCACACCAGGAAACAGAGGTTATGAAGTATTATGCTGTGTCCTTGGAAATATATACAGATGCTTATATGTTTCATATATGAACATGTACATTTGCACAAGCAAAAACACATGCACATGATCTGTGAGATATACAAACACATACAGGTTTCCCCTTAAAATTTACTGTTTTCTGTTAGGACTTCAAGGTGTGGGATAGCGGGCTCTAGCCCATAATATGATCACCCAGCCACACGCTGCGTCCTGACCTTACATTATCCTTATGTATAATCTGTTGGTCATCCCGAAACCTGCCTGTGCTTTGCCTCATAGGGAAGTAGGGCATTCAGAAAAAGGAGCCAGGCATTTCCAGGGCTTACCTCTCTCCCTGCTGTGTTTTCATTTATTCAAGGGAATAGAGAAAGAACTTTGTAAAGATAAAGTAAGCTTCTTTCTCTAATGTATAAATATTATGTAGCAATTTCAGCCACTGAGATGTTGTGCTCTGTGTGAGGAAGACAGTGCCTTTAAAACTAATACTTGTCTGTAAGTTTAAGGCATCTCCAGTGGAGGGACTGATTGGTGCTGACGTGGATTATTTTCCTTGAAGTAGTATATTTTCTGCAAAGATTTGACTCAAGTCCCTTAAGCTATAAAATAAATTTAATGTCTGTATCATTACACAATTCATATAGCCCACTAAACAATAATAACAGTACTAATAAGTTCCTGTTTTGATGGCAGAATGTTATCTGCTTCTATTTTCTTTGTTTTAATCATGTCTGTTAAAATTTTAGGCAAGGTTTTGGTTTCAAATATGGTCCCTTGAGCAAGGTCCACTGCTGCTTCCCCTTTGTGTGTGTTGGGGGGGCAGCCTGTGGGTACCTTGTGGGGAGCCCACAAGTGTGAAGCTCTGCCTCTCCCTAGTCAGGCTGCCGTCAGGATCTGCCTCCTGTTGAAGGGGGGGGCAGCCTGTGGGTACCTTGTGGGGAGCCCACAAGTGTGAAGCAAGCTCTGCCTCTCCCTAGTCAGGCTGCCGTCAGGATCTGCCTCCTGTTGAAGGGCAGCAGGTCCCTGAGCCTGGCAAGGAGACCTCAGACTCCAGGTTGTGGGGTTGTCGGGTGCTTATTTCGAAGGCTGGATACCTGGTGCACATTTCACAGCTTGTAAAGATGAGATATTTGGCTTGTACCACCTCACCAGGAGACACACCTGTCCTGTGTTGCTTTGTGACCTTTTTCTGTCTGCATGTCCCAGCCCCTTACTGCAGCCTGACCTCCACTTTGAAGAATGGCGGCATTTTAAACAGGACCACAGGGGCAGTGGGGAGCAAGGTGCATTACTTTTGCAAGCCTGGATACCGAATGATTGGCCACAGCAATGCCACCTGCAGGCGGAACCCAGTGGGCGTGTACCAATGGGACTCCATGGCACCACTCTGCCAGGGTAAGACACCTGTTTCCCACCCAACTGGGGCTGCCATGTCATGTCTGGATTTAATCACCCTTTGGAAACAAGAGAGATGATGCATGAAAAGTGTTGGGAAATGGAGCCCTGAGCACTTTGCTCAGCAATGAGCACTAAAAGGACAGAGATGGGAGTGCTGGTGCTCAGCTGGTGTTCTTTCTTCTTTTGTGTTTCTCCTGGGCTCCTAGCTCCTGAGAGTCAAGGTGAGTCTCCCTAGTCAGTTAATCCTCTTGGTAAATGATCTCATAGACATGCCCAGGGGTGTGTCTCGTTGGGGTTATAGATTGCATCAAATTGTCCAGTTGACAAGGAAAATTGACCATCACAATTGGCTCTAACAGTACCGATAAAGCTTTCCATAGATCATGCAAACATTGCTGACATTTGCAAAAGGCTTGATTTAGCTACACAGCATGAATTCAGAGAATAAATACCCCCTTGGTTGTGGGTACAGTTATTCTAATAATAACTTGTTCTTTCTCTTGAAATTAAAAATGGTAGCGTTCCATTAAGATGCAAAGTAATTTCCCATCCATTGTATTATTTCAAAAACTGCACTACTGAAAATGCATTTCCCAATTTTACTTTAAACGCTCACCCTTTGAGCCATAAACTGTATGTTTGATTTTCTTTTAGACATTTTAGTCTAGGTCTAATTAATGCTGATTTCACTCTGAATTTTGTTTTTGCATATTATCAATCAGATGGATAAAAACTATGTTTTCAAGTAAAGTATTTTAATTTTAACTCAAGGGTTTTAAGTGGTCAAATTTTTATCATTTTGTCTTATGAGGTTTATATTCATAATGAAGTCGATTAGCCTCTGCAAGTCAATTATAATTTATGAGTGGGACTTGATACTGACCCCTATGTCTTTCTTTTACATAAGATATTAGATTTTCTGTAATTGTGGCATGATAAACTAGCAGGTACATATCATACTTGTGTGACTTTAAGCACGTGATGGTGTTCACATTTTTAGCTTGGTTTACATTTTACCTCCTGAAATTCCACTTTACTGTCAGAGAGGCCCAAGCATAGCTCCATGCCCCATACCTTGTTAGGAATGGCAAGTTTTTTCTTTTAAAGTCCCTGAGGCTTCTTTATTTGCTTTAAGTGTTCTTTGCATGTGTGAAATGGAACTCATTTCTGAAGACAGCCCATCTCTGCCAGGGAGGCCTAGTTACTTTTCTACTCCCGTGACTTCTGTAAGTCAACTCTCAGAAGAAAAGAATATTTTGGCTTGTGGTTCCAGGCAGAGTCCACCTAAGTGAGAGGCATGGCCGCAGGTGGCACCATGGTGGAGGAGCACTAGGCTGGAGCTCACGTTTCCTACAGCCGAGTGAGAAGCCGGACGTGAGGAGAGGCTGCACCATCGCAAAGCCCACTTCTGGAGACACGCATCCTTCAGCAGGGCCACACATCCTAAAGTCCCATGACCCTCCCCAAACAGCGCCACCAACTGGACAAGTGTCCACACGCTTGCGCCTATGGGGGACATTTCTCATCCACAACACCGTAGGCTCCTTATGGGATATGGCAGGTTGATACTGAGAATGCCACCAGTGAGAAAGCCATGATCCCGCAGCATCGTGGACCCAGAAAAGGGTGGAAGCAGGACACTAGGATCCTGGTTGCATGGAGCATGCCTACTAGAGGCTCAGTGGCCTGAATGGGTGTGCTTCTACGGCACAGCCCTAACAGTGCTGGGTTAGGAGTTTGATGGCAACAGAGGGACTTTGCAAGGGTATTTCAGGTGACTGGAGGCCAGTCATCCTGATGGACAGAAGCTTTGCAAACTGTTTAGGAGATGGGAAAGGCAGGCTCTCTCTGTGTGTAGTGGGGAAGAAGGGAAGGGACTCCTGAACAGGGTGTGTTGAGGTCTTGACTTCTGGCCTTTCCTCTCATTCCAAACCAGAATTACATCATGCGAGTTCCAGTGACACAGACAGAGAGGATGTGATAGCCAGCCTCCCTCAAGTCCCACCAATTTGAGCAGCCATGATATGTGTAACCCTTCTTTTATGATAAGAAGCAATGGCCTCTGGATGTAGGAGGCTAGACTCATGGAATGTTCTAGAATGGGAACTAGAATACCTTCAAGCTTCTTAGAGCGCAGAGACCTATGTGATGTATTCTAAAGCAATAATTTGTTTAAGAATCATCATTTCATGGTCTCCTGTACTTTCTGTTAACCTTTCTGGTAACTGGGAAATTTGTATTATCCCATTATCCCTAATAAATTTTGTCCTTAACGCATGGTTGACCTTGGGGGCTGAAGTGATGGCTTAGCAGTTAAGAGCTGTTCTTGCAGAAGATCTGGGTTCAAATCCCAGCACTCACATGGAGGCTAACAACCATCTGTAACTCCAGTTTCAGGGATTTGACACCCTCTTCTGTCCTCCACAGACATTTCAAGACATGGGTGTACTTACATGCATGCAGACAATACACTCACACACACAAAATAAAAACAAATATACAAAAAATCAACAAAAAATGCCTACTAGAGGCTCAGTGGCCTGAACTTAAAAAATACTGTTGCCAAAATACATTTTCAACTATGACAAATATAATTAAGTGATTAATAATCTTAAAAAGATGTTATAGAATTCTGCCTCCCTATTCATTAACTGTGAAAATAAGCTTAGCCCTCTTTTAGATATTTACAACGTATGTGAAATGCCATTTAAAAACATAATATAAAATCACATTAATTTGGTGTGAGGTCTTTAGGTTTAAAATAATAATAGGAATTGAGATCATTTTAAAATCATTTAAGTTATTTGGTACAATTAATTAATTTTGACATTAAAATACAATTAGATTTTCAAAAGAACGGACGTGATTAACTTGACAGATGAAGGTTGTTTGGCAGGAATTGTACAAGTAGTTTTATATAAAGTAAAGGTATATAGTACATAATGCTGATTTAAACCCCCAACATGTTTGAGTTATTAAATTTGACTTATTTAATATAAAAATGTATTTTGCATGAATGAGGATGAAGCAAATGGAGATTTGACTTGTTTTCTTTGAACTATCTGCTTCACTCTTGTTGCTTGTAGAATACAGAGCTTTTCTAAAAACGATTATTCTATTTTATGTTTATGAGTGTATTGTCTGCATGTATGTAAGTGCACCTCCTTCAATGCCTGTGGAGGTCAGAAGGTATCAGGTCCTCTGGAACTGGAGTGATAGGCAGTTGTTAGTTGCCATGTGGGAGCTGGGAATAGAAGCTGGGTCTTCTGCAAGAGCAGTTAGTGCTCGGAACCGCTAAACCATCTCTCCAGCCCCAGAATGCAGAGCTTTTACACAACTCAAGCCCACCCACCTTACAGAAAGCTGCTGGGCTCCTGAGGTCACTAGAAACTATGGGTTCTTTTGTAAAGTTTTTATTATTTATTTATTTATTTGTTATTTATGTGTATGTTTGTGAGCCTACTTGAGTTCATGGTTTATGTGTACCACTAGTGTGCAGTGCCAATGGAGGCTAGAGGAGGGCATTGGAGCCCCTTGAACTGGAGTTACAAGCAGCTGTGAGCCTGGGGAATAAGCCCTGGGCTTCTGCAATTGCAGTAAGTAATCCTAACTGCCAAGATACATCTCTGGCTCCTGCCTTCTGCATCCTGATCATCTAAGCAGCCCTTGTCTGCAGAGAGGAACACTCTCTGCTCATACGTGAGCTGTTGGTTGTATGTGGCAGCCTGTGGTGAGGCACACTGAATGAGACCTGATTCTCCCCCCAGGACTCATACTCTAATCAAGACAAAGAATTACGAATGATGGCACCTGCCATAGCAGATACTGTGGTGTAGAACATGGATGTCTACATTAAGCTATGTGATCAGTTACACAGCATCCTGTTGATGTGAGGAAATCACTCTTCACAGAACAGAGAGAATGCATGGCCAGAGAACATTTCTCAAAGGTTTGCGATGTACATGGGAGGGTAGAAGGGTGAGGCTGGTTAATGGTGCATCTTGTTAGATAGGAGAATTAACCTTGAACGTTCCAGAGCACAGCAGAGCAACCGAAGTCGATAGTAATTAGTATAATATTTCAACACTGCCAGTAGACAGGATTTTAAATGCTTCCATTATAAATAAACGATAAAATTTGAGGGATAATATGCCAATGGCTCTGACCTGATCGCTACACATTTTATATAAGTATTGAAATACCACACCATCGCTCATAAATAACATCATTCTGTGCCATCTCAAAGTACAAAAACATCTAAAATCTAAAATTCAAAAAGTTTTAGGCAAAATTTGAAAACAAGAAGGTATTAAGATTATCATGTAGATTTCTTGCAATTTTCTCGTAAAAATGTGAGTACTAAAGGAAAATACTTTGTATTTGACTGAAATTATTATGATTCATGTTGGTTGGTAATGGATGACAAGTCACATGTAGAGAGCGTTTATTTTCAGCTTTAGGAGAGTTGTAAGTACATTCAGTCTTCACAACTGGTATCTTTTTGAAATTGCTTATTTGTGTGTGTGTGAATAGGAGCGTGTGTTCACCATGACACACATGTGGCAGTCAGAAGACAACTTTCAGGGGTCAGCTCTCTCCTCGTACCTTGTTTTTGGGACAGGATCTTTCTTACTGTTTCTGCTGCGCTGCATACTCTGGCTTGCTGGCCTGTGAGCTTCCAGATGACTATCCTGCCTCCACCTCCCATCTTGCTGTAGGTGCGCCAGGATCACAGACCACTGCACCTGACTCTTATGTGGGCTCCTGAGGTAGAACTTGATCCTCGTCTTGAATAAGTGTCTTTACCCACTGAGCCATCTTCTGAGCCCCAAATTAGTATCTTTGTCTAAAGAGAGTTAGTTTCAAAATCCCCAGTCATTTGATTTTGAGTTCCTGGGAGTGTACAACTGTGTGATATGAGATCAAAGACCTGCTGGAATATTCTTTGAAATGTTTGGGACTCTACATGGGAGCAGTCCTCAGCTGAATAGGAACCA